CACAACACACGCACACACATGCTTGCTCATGCACAGCACATGTACACATGCCTCCTTGCACACAACACACGCACACACATGCTTGCTCATGCACACACATGCCTCCTTGCACACAATACACGTGCACACATGCTTGCTCATGCACACACATGCTTCCTTGCACACAATACACGTGCACACATGCTTGCTCATGCGCAACACATGCATACCTGTATGCTCACATACAGCACATGCACACTTGCCTCCTTGCACACAACGCACACACACATGCTTGCTCATATGCAACACATGCAGCACATGTTGCCTTGCACAAAATACACATGCACACATGCTTGCTCATACACAACACGCGCACGCTGCCTCATATAGCAAAACCCCTACGAGGTGACCATGACAATTTACAGATTGGGCACAAGTTCCATCATAAAATTCTCTGAGCTGACCTCTGGCGAGGCTTTCCTGTTTGTAGCTCCTCTCCTGTCCCCTGTCCCCACTGCTCACTGGGATGAACACCTCCTCTCGTTCCATCTTTCCACCCTGAGAGGACCAGTAGGCTCCCTGGGGGGTGCCCCTGTAGCGTTGTTGCCTACCAGCTTAGTCGAGTGAAGAGCAAGTTTGGCCAGATCGGAGATGGTGGTGGCCAAGGAGGTGTGCCCAGCGCAGCCTGACACACTAGATGTGCTCCTAGAAGGACCTGGGATCCCCCTTTCTGGGAACACATCTAGCGGTCATCCTTGCCAGCCTCCTGGGAAGCCTCTGCCAAAAACGGGGGCCCCCGGGAGTCTTGCATTGATGACGGGGAGAGCGGGAAGTATGGCGGTCGGAGGGGTGGGTGGGGGGCAGTGGGGGCTGGGTAGGGAAGCTCGGGGGAGAGTTTTGGATGGAAAAGTCAGGAGGACATTGAGACTGCAGAATTACCAACGAAAATCAGGAACCCAAATTTACGTCAATTGATCTATTTCCCCTCTTTCTTCTCTTGGGGCTTGTTTCTTTTTTTGTTTTGTTTTGTTTTTTTTTAACCCCCTCCTCAGCTTTACTTGCGCTTTTAACCCCTTCCCCACGTAACAGGGGAGCAGTGACCAAGGAAGAGTGTACTAAGCAAGCGTCCACCATCACCGCGGGCCACGCCCCATCGTCCTGTTCCCCGCCATTTAATCTCCCTGGTGTTTGCTTTGATTCTGTCCCTGTTGCTTGGGTCAAGTTGAGAGTGGAGCCTCTGTGACGTGGCCACAGCGTCCACAGAGATGTACCGGGGGAATCGAGAGAGCCGCTCCCTGGCTTAGCTCCCGGGGACAGTGGCTGGTCCCTGGAAGTCCTGAGGGGCAGGGGGGGTGGCAGGGTGGTGTCTTCCCAGGTGTCAGGAAGGTGCTCGGAGACCACCGTAAGGGGCTCCTGGCTGGCCCAGCCGCCGGGAGGGAAGGGGTTATAGTGTGTGGGTGAAGGGTTCCATCTGGAGAGAGCAGGTGGTCGCCTTCCGAGCATTTGGGGAGCCTGCCCCCCACCCTCTGTGACAACTTACCTGCCTTCTCAGCACCCCATTGGGTCCTTGGGAATCCCAGAGCTCTGTGGGGACTCCTGGGGACCCAGTAGGGTGGAGTCAGGGAGTTGGGGCGGTTAGGAGGGCGTGAGCCCACGGAGCAAGGAGAGCTGCCCATGGTCACCCACCAACTGGGGTTGCGTGGGCCCCACAGCCGTGAGTCTGGCATCTCATGGCAGCCACCATGGTGCCTAGGGCTGGGGCAGGGAATCGGGCAGCTGGGAGGCTTACCTCACCCCCACCTCTGCCCCCAGCGCAGTCCCCCTGCACAGCAGCCCACTAGCAATCTAGAGGCCCACGGCTTTGGGCCCCCCGCAACAGGACTGGCATGACCCTGGGGGCGGTCCATGCCAGCCCGCCTACGGCACAGAGGGCCATCTGACCAGCGCTCGGAGAAGGGGCCATTTGGACTATTGGCAGAAGAGCTTTCATGAAGCTCAAAGACCTAAATTGTCACAATTGGAGAGTCAAACAGATTGGCAGACAGCTCAGAAAACTCCGAGGCACCCCAAATTCCTGCCCATTCGACCGGACGCTCAGCTTCTTCAGTGTTAGAAATCTGCCTCGCTGGGCCGAGCGCTCCGGGGGTGCTGGTTGCTGACCCTCTGTGACGCCCTCTGCGGCTCTCCCTGTGGTGGCCAGGTACCCTGGCTACGGCCGCCCACCTGACCCCCGCGCCCTTGGTAGTGGCTTCCATCTCCTCTCTTCCCCGTGCCCACCCCAAACTGTCTTCAGCAGGGCCCCCTCTTGGGCCTCTCTCTGTGCCATCACCTGAAGACCCCCCCACGTGCTGAACACCAATGTCACCTGTGCCCGCTGTCTCAGCCCATCTTGCAGCGGCCCTGTGTTCGCCTCAACTTGATCTTTTAACATGCAAACATTTCTGGCAAAACTCATTGCTTGGGTTTTGTCTTTAACTGTGATGCTCGCAATCCCAATAAAATACTCAAAATTATCTGGTTCTGAGTCCTCTGCTCTGTGACTTGGGTACTGAGTGTTGGTATGGAGAAGTCTGAGAGCCTGAGAGGGGGCAGGGACGGGGTGGGCTGGGGGATGGAAGACACCTTTCCCAGCATCCCTCACACACACGATGGAACAAAACCCCACATCTCCTGGGCTCCTGGGCACCTTGGCATCTTTGGGTGCCCAGCCCTCAGAGATTGGAGCTTACAGAGCCAATAGAGATCTTTCTAAAGAAACAGTTCATGGTTCCAAAGTCCCTGCAAACCTTGGGGAGTCATCCTGAACCCAGAAAGGTGCTGGAAGGTGGGAAATGCGAGGCAGGGCTGGGGTTGATGTTTCCTGCCTGCACAAGTATATAGGTAGATGCATCTGCCTCCCCACCCCCACCCACCCCCAGGACTGAGACTGTAGCAAACATCTCCATACCCACCTGAGCCAGTGCTGCGATGAGGGGAATCTGTCTAGCTTACACCTACCCAGACACTGGCCACTGTCAGGGTCTCTATACCCTGGAGACCCAACCTGGACCATCTCCCCACCCCCACCCTCTGGCATCCTCTGGACAATCTGACAGGGTGGTCAGTACATCTGTCCTTGCCGCTGCATGTTGGGAGTGGGACTGCAGGGGCACTGAGGAGGCAGGGGGTCCCTGTTGGTGGTTCACCACTCTGGACATCCCTCTCTGGGTCCGGATACCTGGCCCTGTCAGGGTGACTAACACATTCATTCACACCCAGTTAGTGCTGGCTCATCTGGGCCCCTGTACTTCTGGGCCGGTGCTGGCTGGGCGGGGGCTGTGAGCGCTCTAGGAGTCTGCGTTGGGGAATGGGCTTCCCACCATTTCTGCAACCTCAGTGCTGCCCAAGCCAGGCAGTCCAAGGGGCTTCCTGGAGGAGGCAGCATTAGCCTTAGGCATGAAAGAGAATTTGGATGCTGGCAAGGAGGCACCGTGCCCCACTTGGGGCAACCAGGAGGCCTGGTGGAGGTGGGCAGAGGGTTCAGGGACAAGGTCACAGGTAGGATTTCATGATAATGAACTGCTCCAAAACACTTTTCAGGATGGGGGCGGAGGCAGAGTGTGGGGACCCAGCACTGCTGACACCTAGGTATGCAGGGGTCCCCATGCCTTCCCTCATGCGTGGCCCTGAGGTC